ATTAGGAAGGGACTCAGACAGGGATGCACACTGTCACCGCTACTTTTTAATCTGTACAACGAAGACGCCATCAACATCATTAAAGACAGTACACCTGTAGGGATAGATGTGCAAGAACAAAAGATTAGTATGCTTAGATTTGCAGATGATATAGCAGTATTAGCATCTAGCAAGGAGATAGCTTTAAATAAAATGGAAGCGGTACTGACAGATCAGTACTGTATGAAAATAAATAAAAGTAAAACTAAAATACTGGTATGCAAGGGAAGAAAAAGTAAGGAAAGAGCGAATATAAAGATAGGAGACGAAAAATTAGAAGAAGTGGCTGATTTTAGATACCTAAGAAGTCAGGATGGAAGGAGTAGTAGGGATATAAAGCAGGGGATAGAGCAGGGTCGTGTCGCCTTTAATAAAAAGAAGTCACTTCTATGCTCGCGAACGGTTAATTTAGAAATTCGAAAAAGGTTGTGAAAGGTGTGTTTGGAGCACGGCGTTGTACGGATGCTAAACATAAACAGTAGGCGCGGCGGAAAAGAAAAGGTTAGAAGCGTTCGAAATGTGGTGTTACAGGCGGATGATGAGGATATCGTGGGTAGAAAAGGTTAGAAATGAACAGGTATTGGAAAGAATAGGAGAACAGAGGATTCTATGGAAGTCAATAAAAAATAGGCGAGATAGGTTGGTAGGACACCTTCTCAGGCATGAAGGTCTAGTCAGAGACATATTAGAGGCAGAAACAGGAGTTAGGAGGGGTAGAGGTAGACCTAGATTAGATTACTGTTCGCAAATAGTTAAGGATGTGGGCTGTTCTAGTTTTAGGGAAATGCGAAGTTTAGCTCAGGATAGGAAAGAGTGGAGGTACGTGTCCAACCAGTCTTAGGACTGACGACCTTATGATGATGATGAAGTGAGGTTTTGTACTGATCACATTTATCACACGTGCCGTTCTTTGACAACTTATTAAACTCAGTGTTGTTTTGATTACAGAAAGTCCTTCGATAGACTTTTTCTTTAGCCGGTGAAATACCTTGTTCTCTGCACCATGGAATATAGAATTTTTTATATAGATACGTAATAGTCAGGTCATGATCCATATAGACACGATTAGGATTACTTTTCTTGTGGTTTCTATAGTGGTTTGTATACCTAGGTACTGCGTTAATATAATTATGAAAACTTCTTACCGTTTCTTTAGCTAATCGGTTTTTGTGATAGTGACCTTTATCACATTAGCTACAGTTTGAAATCGTATTTCCCTGGCGAATTTATTTGCAAGTATTGTATATTGGCTTCTTAGAATCCTGAAGGTCATGAACAAAAAAGAACTCCTCCTTGTATGTATGTTTGTTTGTCAACTCCTTCGTTTTTCACAGAATATGAAAAAGTTACTATTCGAGAAAAAATTTTCCTTTTTGTTGTAATTTCATTCTTATTTAACGGACAAACACATTTGTAAGAAAACCAGAGTTGCAAATTGATGAAATGCAACATGGATGGATGCCGCTGAATGCGGCGTTTTAATGTAATTCTCCCTGGGTAATCCTACCAGGACCGGATTGGTTCTCGCCTGTACATTCAAATACGTTTTCTTTTTTAAACGGCGGACTTTCAGACCACCAAACATTTAATTAGCTTTCTTATTTTATAGTAGTACCCTATCACTTCCTTTAAGCTTCTTTATGCGCGGCAACCATTAATTTTCGATTAATCTTAAAACTAGGTAAAATTCTGACTATTAAACTAATCAATGGTGATAGGTTTAAAGATTAATTTTTAAGTACTTTCTTAAATTGGAAAATGTTACATGATAAAAAGAGATCTATGTAAAAGAACGATTGACCAAGCTACAGGATCTGTTTAGAATAGATCTGTGGTTGGGATATGAGTGTTTCGGTGTACTAACAAATCAGTTCCATTTTCTCAACTCTCTATTGGAGGTATAAATTTCAATCCTATTAGCTAGATCAATAACAGAAAATCTATTGTTTATAGTTTTATATAAAAGTGATATATCGTCGAGATTTGGGTGAACAGATATTTCGTTCTTTGACAATTGGACTAAAATATCTATCAATTAGGTTAAACATTTTATATAATATTAATTGCAAAAATCTGTGTTGAGTACCTTCAAGTAAATTAATTAGATACTGAAAATGTGGAGACCAAATAAGACTTATGTGAGTAAATATAAAAACTAGAAAGGACGAAAATTAAAAGGTCACCGCCTCTTTTCTTGTATATTTCAAGGTTCTTATAAAGTCTTAAGATCATGTACCCTTCCCTTCGATATCTAATTTAGTCTAGTACAAATTCTCCGTTGCCGATCCGACGGGACTTGAACCTTGATGAAACTCTTGTACAAACGAGAGTGGATGGATCGGCCTGCGAGTTTCGACTATTTAGGGAGCCAGACCTTAGGTTCTACTATAATGGGGGGTTCTTAAAGAGAAACCAGACTAAGACGGTTCCCTAAAAGAAGGCAGCAACTCTTTCAGTACTCAGGGTGGCAGAGATCACGAGGATCGGTATGGCACTCTTATGCACAATACTGCGATGCGGAAGGCAACGGGAAACAATCACATTATGATCCCGAGTAAAAAGTCAATAACTGAAATTAAATGATGGCGTCCTCTGGGGTAAAGATATAGTAGGCATTAGTGAAGTCCGTTGACCCGAAGCTGGAGACTTCTAGAGTGGAGACTTTAGAATAATATATACAGGATCTATGAAAGGTGATTCAGGGGGTAAAGCGTAGGAAATTAGGGCAGAGTGTAGAAAGTTATTTACAAAAAAGCGATAGGATAGTTATGGTTAAATTAAACTCGAAGCTGGTAAAAACAGTATTAGTACAGGTCTACATGCCTACATCATCTTACAGTGATGAAGACGTTGAAGCGGTTTAAAAAGATATAGAAGACGTGTTAAATTTAGTGAAAGGACAGGAAAACTTAATAGTTGTAGGAGACGCAGTAATAGGTTATCCCATAATGAGAGAAGAGTTCGATGTAGCATTAAAAAATTTAAAGACTAATAAGGCGCCAGGGGTAGATGGGATACCGGGGGAAATTATAATACATGCAGGACAAGAGGTTAGAGATCGTATGTTTAAACTAGTTAGTCACATTTACGAGACCGGGAAAGTCCCAAAAGATTACAAACGGAACGTAGTAGTATTACGTAAAAAGAGGGACACGGATAGGTGCGAGACATTTAGAACAATCACCTTAACTTCCCATGCGTCAAAAATTTTAACTAGAATTGTACAGAGAAAGATGGAAAAAAGGGCGAAAGAACTATTAGGGGAAGATCAATTTGGGTTTAGAAAAAATAGAGGAACACTGGAGGTCATTCTAGCTTTGCGGGTAACAATAGACAAAAGAATAGAAAAAAAAAGAGGGCGTACGTAGGATTTGTAGATATAGAACGCACGCACTCGTAGGACTGTGTATAAATCTTGACAGTTTTTTAATGTTTGTTATTTTGGTATATTTTTTAATTTTCTCAGATAGAGAAAACCAAAATTTTCACAATGTTCATCTAACTACATAAATCTCGAATCCATATTGCTTATTATAGAATCAACCATTGTGTTAAATAAACCTGACTCATTTCGACTTTTGGGAGACTGTATGGGCTAATCTTTGTCTTCATAATCAAACATCCTTTTCCTTGTGTTATCGTTTCTTGTGATCATATCAGCTCTAGGATCAGGCTTCTTTGTGGATATTGCTGGGCAACACTTACAGTACAGTATAAAAACAAATGGCCGCGACGCATTAACACCACAAAGCACAATTTTTACTAAACAAACTACAATACTATGTTTAATAATTAGGACCTAAAGAAATACACATGTGACTCTGAGAGCTCTCTCTACATAACATATATTTAAATATATGTTGGTATCCCTCTTTATAAGACGCAGGACTGTCCCGGGTGACCGGCCGATTTCCCGGGGCGGCCAAACCGTGAATGGGTTTACCTTTTTGGGTTGAAAGTTTTGTATTTACTAAAAAAAATTTTTATGCGGGTCAGCATTGTCGCAGCTCATTCAACTGAACAGCATTTTGCTCCTTTTCCGACTTATTATTCACCCCTTCGCTCTTTATCAAATCTCGCTCGTTTTGGGACGGTCAGTAATAAAAATAGTGAAGTTTTCTAACCAGACCACTGTTTCACCGTCAAGCCCCAAAATTAACGGTTAGCTTGTGGACAATTTTCGAACTCTATTAATTTTTTTAATCTACTAAAGGGCACATGTCCACAGAAGATTATCGTATATCTTCTAACAAAAAAAAGAATGTAAAACAAGTCCAATTTCATAAGCGACCACAAATAAAACTTCCTATTGGGTACACAAGTACCCTATTTCACCCCAAGTAATTTCACGGATATACTTAGCTATGAATGAATAATTTTGAAAAATTCCCTGAAAGATATTATTGTCATGTCACCTTAACTGTATTGAATTAGTCTTCTAGAGAAATCCAGGACAGACATGACTAATGATAAATAGCAAAAGCATTTTGTAACAAAAAAAATATGATAATGCTGGCAATGATGATATTCATGTGCACCTTAAACTAAATTATGATGACGCTGACAATTTTTTCCAATTTAATCATGTCTTATGACAATTTTTTATATTATTTTTAATAAAATTGATTAAAAAAAAATACGTGAAATAAATAGTTACAATGTAATTGTGACACTATAAAACATCCATTGAAGTTTCATTTCATTAACATTTCACCTCATGGAAAGTTTTCTTGGTTCATTTAAAAAGCATAGATGAACTTCTATTCTAGGAAAAGTTTTTGCGTTCTACATATATTTACACCCATTTAATTAATTTTTATACAATTAAATTTTGTTTCTGAATCACACTGAAACATAATAGGGCAAAAAGTCTATCAGTTTTGTAAAACTCCATATGACATATGACTTTCCCTGTTAATAAATGTGTACAATTTTGAGATTGCTCAATAATGATAAAATGCTGTAATTAAAACTTCTCGTGTATTATTTCTAACTCATATCCATAGGCTCTACATAGGTAATTGATACATCATGCACATCAATATTTGAAGTTTTTGTAGTAAGAATAGGTGTAGTTCCCTTAGGATAACGATATGATGCCTGACGCACTCCTTTTTTGTTTGCTTCGTCATAAGTTCTTAAGTACTCTGCTGTGCCTTTCTTGATAATGCAAAGATCCACATTAGAGCCAGAACCAAGATCATTAAAAATACCTGCCGCAATGGCATCTCTGACGAGCTTCTTTCCCTCATCTTCATTCATGTTGGGTCTCCAATATGATTCAAAAACAGCCATTGCAGCAAGAGAACCTGATCCCATAGTTGTATATGGCACTTTATCAGATGAACCATGAGGATAAATGCAGTACAAATTAGGTCCAGTACTATCTACCCCTCCTAAAACAAGAGCTGCACCAATGTAACCCTGATAACGAAATAAATACTGTTTTAACATTTGATTTGCTGTTGCAACTCGTACAACACGATTTGTATTTAATCTATGCAATTCAAGTTGAGATGAAATCATTTGGGTGGTCATTTCAGTATCAGCAGCTGTACCTGCACCACAGCAACTACAATTTTAAAATTTATCGTTAAGTTAAATTCATAAAATAATTGTATCAAACATACTAAATATTCGATGCTAAATAATGAATTTTCTGACAATTTTTATCAGAAACAGTGGTATCCTCTGTAGCACGTGTATCAGCTCCCAAAATTACACCATCTTTGTAAGTTATACCAACAATTGTAGTACCTGTCTTAGTAGCTTTTGGTGGAACAAAACCATTTGCAACGAAACTTGCATTTCTAAAAAAAAGAGTATTCACTTGACTACTTACCGTTGATCATCATACTACTAATTTTAAAAGTTGCTTATTCATGCTTAATATAATAAAGTTAACCTCAAAGAATGTATTTGTATTGACTTTAAAACGAAAAATAAATCGAATTATTGCCCGTTAAAACAAATAGTATACATTTTGAAAAAAAGATTACCTTTTACAATTTTCAAATGAAAATCCGGGCTCTGGGTAATCGGCTATTAAAACTGCAGCCATCCTGCACAAAAAGATGTTACACCATTAATACAAAAATAAAATTAACAAAAATAACAACTTTATTTAATAATGTTTAAGGAACCATTTTCTTCAATAATGTTTAATTAAGGTTTTTGGATACTTATTTATAAAAAATAATCATACCTGATATTGAATGAGCTAAATATGCTGACTTACACTGATTGCTACGGCGTACTAACCATAGATAATAGTACTAACTGGCAATAACCTGCACTAACCCATAGCTTCTCTGCCCATAGACACCAACCATATGAGCATAGACATATATTAATGGACGTGCCTTAGCCATAGACATATAATAATGGACGTGCCTTAGCCGTATGTCGTAATAATTTCTTGGCTCGAAAAGTGAGGGAGATGGCGTATGATGTCGGACTTGTACTATCTCTTTCATGACACGCTTACACACTATCGTGAGAGAGATGGATATTGTCTGAAACTTCGTTTCATCTCTTTCTTTTGTTGTACCATCGACGTTTACTAATGGACATGCCTTAGCGGTCAGAATTGTGGTACAACAAAAGAAAGAGAAGGAACGAAGTTTCGGAGTGCGTGAGCGTGTCATGAAAGAGATAGCACTAGTCCGAAACCGTATGCCATCTCCCTCACTTTTCGAGCCAAGAAATTATTACAACGACTTACGGCTTAGGCACGTCCATTAATATATGTTAATTGAATTTGAATAATTTCAAAATATTGTAATTCCAGCTACGCGTAAACAAGAGCTGTGCCAGTTTACGTGATACGGAGTATATATAGAGAAAGCGTAGTTGTCTATGTCTATGATTAGAAGACATCCAAAGAATTTTTCTCATTTTTCCTCAAAAAATATTCACCAAAATTTTCTTGCTACTATTAAGAATTTTCAAATAACTAAGTACTTAGAGTCGATTTTATAAGTTGTATATTTGTATAAAGCCACCTACATTAAAATTGTGATCCACTTTTAAAATTGAATCAAGATGTTTTCTTTTATAAAATGTTTACTATAGGGCTATCAATAAAGTGTACATGCAGATGGACTAATCAAAAGTCTAGATAATAAAGATATTTAATCATTCAAGTCGCTGCTACTTTAAAGTCATTTTACACACAAACATTCTACTTCCCAAATATTTGTAAAAACAAAACATACAATTAAATTGAGGCTTTTATAAATTTGTCAATTATTTTGTTGTTGTATATGATGTTGTAAAGTTTGTATATATTCTTCTGCAGCTGTACAAGTTTGTTCAATTTCATAGTTTTGAGAGACCAATTGTACCCATTTAGTTTCAAGCATTGTGAGCTGTTCACCTCCTTTTGTTTGTAACGATTTTCGCTGCCAATTTATTTCCTGAATGCCTTGTCGAAGTTCAGTTAATTTTTTAGTTGCACTGTTTTCACATTCTACTAACGTTTGTAAATATCTCTGCCAGATGGGGCAGCAATATTGTAGCATTAATTGTAAATTAAGTATTCTCACTGACTGATGTTCAAGTTGAGCTTGTGAATTATCAACACACTCTGCCCATGCACCAAGTTCATTTAATTTGCCACTTGGAGGTGGAGGCAATTCATAACGTTTCATGGACATTGCCTCTAGAGGTGACCTATTTTGAAGTCTTTCAAACTCAGTCCTCATTATTGGAGTTTCAAAAGCAGTTACATTAAGGGGAGGCAAGTTCTCTAGATAATTTTTCGTTGGTCTATACCTTCTACATTCTTCATCAACCATGGCAGTTGCCTAGAGAAATTAGAACCTTTTCAGTCTATTTCAACAAAAGATATTGTTTTACAAACCGCTTCTCTGACGCCTAGTTCATCGTAGCCTTGATCTATGTACGGCAGTGCATCTACAATAATCTCACCAGCCATCTTTCAGCTTTACATAAAAACGTACAGTGTGAACTAGAGTTTTGAATTAAAGGTTAATATTTGATTTCCATCCTCCATTAGACATATACATATATAAATAGACGACTGTATACGACCATAGACAACTTTAGACAGTATATATCATTGAGTGAGAGAGATGGATATTGTCCGAAACTTCGTTCCATCCCTTTCTTTTGTTGAACCACAATTCTGACCGCTAAGGCATTTCCATGAGTAAACGTCGATGCTAATGACCATGCATTATCTATGGACCATGCACTGTCTAGATCGAAAAGGGGAGCAGTCAAAGTGAATTCTTACCATATTCTTACGAACAATAAACCACGTCGGAGATGGGAGGTCAGTCGTGTGAAGCTAGCACGCGATATGAATAATCCTCTGATTTAAACTTTACGAATAAATTGTGCGTCATTTGCAGGTTCTAAATATGTATGTAGCGTAATTTATATTACTCATCAGTAACAATTATACTTCGTTTACTTTCTGTAGCGATGTGACCTTCAGTTTGACCGGCGCAGACTAAAAAAGAACAGCACTAGGCCAGAAGAGGAGGAGACAACTCTCGGCCAAACTCTTAACCGGCGAGAAGCGTATAATCCGTACACTACTGCACGAAAAAATTGACCATTTTATCCACTACAGTTGCATTGGAAAATACTATAAATGGCACAGTAAACGCCATCTGTAGTACGATGCTACATTTTAGGATTACGTATGCTCCAACAAGGTCTATTTATATATATATGGATATCTACTTGCTGAAACGAATCCCGGCGTAGCTCACCTCAACGTGGTAGGCACGTTACCATAATCGAATAAAATAATTCGAAGTGGTCTGTATTCTGTCGAAACTGCCAGACGGGGATCGCGATTTCGATCTTTTTGGATCTCATCAGCCCGTCGCAGGCAGCTGTTCAAATGTGCTGTTATTGGTACCATTTACTACTGAAAATATCAACGAGATGTTTGTTTATATTTGAAGATGTATTAAAGGTTTTAAGGCATGTTTTCGACTCGCACTACTATTCATGATTGAACAAAACTTTTGGCAGGTACTGTATGAAAAAGTATGTTTAATGAACAAGAGTCGAGAGTATAATGAACTTTTTTCTCCCTACCTACAATTTTGCCAGCGCGAATTCAAGACATTGGAAGGGGCACATCGCTACAGAAAGTAAATGAAGTATACATACAGTACTTAATTTTTTATTGATATTACCAATACGCGTGCGCAGTCGTGAGAATCTGGCACCCGATATAAACAATCCACTGATTTAAACTTTACTCATAACTTGTGCGTCGTTGACGGGTTCAAAATATGTATCATAATTGTATGTTCATTAGTTTTGTAAAAAACAAGGAAATTGTGTGGAAATTAAATGTCAATTTATTTAAAAAAGTACTTAAGATATGATAATTTAATTGACACCGATTTAATGCGTGTCTTTTGTGCTTGAAAACTGAGCTATTATGATAAGCGGAGTTAATTTTTATATTCTTTATTAGTAATGAGTTATTATGATAACTCAATTTTCAAGCACAAATGACGCGCATTCAGTTCTAGAAAAATGGCGGTTTGGTAAGTCGGTGACTTTTTGAGTTTCCTGCATAGCAACATTTAATGCAATACTGCTCCATCTGTCAATCCAACAGACTTCTGTTTTTGCATTTCGTATACTCATCAAGCATTATCTTTTCGTGTAAAAAAATCTATCACTGAAAGAAAGAAAGGACTTAATAAGTACGATTTGAAGAAGGGGTTAAGGAGTGATATACTTAACTCTGCTGTGACCGCACCTGCGCAAGTGACGCGTTCAGGTCGTTAGTCAGAAATCGTCGATAAAATATATATACATATATACAGAATAAAACTGTGTAAATTGGTTGATGTCGTTGGCTTCTCGACTGAGCAGGTGCATTACATGTTAAATGAATATTTTGACATGAAAAACATATTCGTTCGATGGGTGCCGCGGGGAGACTAAAGAACAGTGAAAGCAGTAAATGTGTCCAAGAGAACGTGCACCACAGAAGGCCAAGATGGGTCGATCGGTCAATAAGGTCAATAGGATACACGCGGTGCCATTCACATGGATTACTGTAAATACTACTCATTGCTGTTGGCAGATACTGCAAAACTACATTGGTCGTTTGAAATACTGGAATTGTGAAAGAATCTAGAGCGCCCCTCAAATGAAGCAGTCGGCAGCAGGAAAACTATGGCCAGACAATTTTATGGAGCACAAATAGGTTCATCCTCACTAAGTCCTCAAAGAAGTCATCATTATAAGACCGGAGTTAACTCACTATCGTTCGACCTGATGAGGTATCAAAATGGGTATCAGAATGGGAGTTCAATCTTTGGCAAGAAAAGTGATCTTGACCAATGCCACCGGAAAAAGTTCATTAATTCGAGGAGAATACAACATAGAAAATAGGATCGGAAATGCGTTCTTATACAGTTCTTGAAAAACATAGAATCAACTTAATTCTTTATATTCATTCATTCATTCAAATTCAATTCAAACATCGTCAATACTTGAATAACCAATTTGAAAGACGTCGAGCAAAGGATCTGCAAGGGCATAAAGTTGGAAGTATTTGAATCAGTAAACGAAAGTTACCACTGCTACTAGGAAGAAGAATCAAAAGCGAAACTATAAAGGATGTCCACCTATATGGGGAGGTAGTCACCGAATTGTGACCATGTCGGACAATAGGGGTAGGGGGGTTAGGGCTTTTGTGACGTCCTCAAATAACTGTGTATTAAAAAAATTGTATCAATAAATACCACTACATTATATCATACAAATATAATAAATTTTAAATATTCCACGTTTAAATGTAACGGTATTAACGATGAAAGGCACGCTGAACTGCGGGTACATCAAGATTGGGGCTCCAGAGAGTGTAATCTTCACATGTTCAAACGCTTTTTGGTATTCGGGTGTCCAATGGAATGAAACTCCAACTTCTGTAAGTCTGTGAAGTAGTCGAGATATATCGGCAAATCATCGAATCATTCGGTAGTAGGAGTAAAGTCCCAGAAAACTTCTAAGATCTCGTCGTCTGTTTATCTGAAGCAGATTGAAGCAGCGGCAGAGGTAATTTCCTGGGCTGATTCAGATAAAGCAACAGCACTAATAACTTTTTTACAAGGAGTGGCGCTGAATAAACTCTAAGGAATGCCCGAATTCCAACAATATGATTTCCACATATTGACAACCGCCTAGAAATGAGGCACCTATATCAGACTTCAAAGGTCATGAACGAATTCGACGATCAGAGAATTACAAAAGAAGGTGTCATGTTGCTGATCAGGGAAAGTGTAATAGATGTAAAGAAAGCCACTGCCAGAAACACGGGAGAATGGAATCCAAAATGTTGGGAATGTGGAAGAACTGATCATTTTGCACGAGACTGCAAGAACTACAGTCGTCGTCTGAAGTGCTGGAATTGCAGAAAAAATAGGACACATAAGTCGAGAGTGCCCCTCAAACAAAATAGCCAATCGAAAATCTAAGATCAGTCAACTTTATAGGTCGCAAGTTGGCTCACCCTCACCAAGCCCTGAAGAAGTCATCATATCAAGACTGGGCAGCACTTATTCGTTATTTATACAGGGCTCTACAAATCAGCACAATATTAGAATGATTACCGATGCAGGGATATCAAGTACCATCGTTCACCCTAATATGGTATATGAATGGCGAATTCAATCTTTGGACAGAAGACTAATTCACAAATCCATGAAGACTGCAACGTTAAAATTAAAATTGGAAATGCGACCTTACACAGTTCTGTTTTGGTAGTAGACATAGTATTTAATGTCACCATTAGATTGGACCTTTTGCAACAACATGGAATCGACTTAAATATTAGCATTTCTGTAATAAGCATCGCTTGAAAAGAGATACTAATGTCAAATCCTAAATCGAAGCTTGCTGCGTACAAGATGATTGTAGAGGAAGATCTACTGAGTCACTCCGAGAGTATTGTAAAAGTCAGAATAGACGATGACATCGGCGGATTGGTAGGGGTAATCGAACCAGACAATCAAGACTTGACACAGAAAGCATTATTAGTGAGACGTACGTTGTAAGAAGTGGAAACTCATCGATACGATAGAATGTTATAGATTATATATTGTAGATATGTTAGAATAGCCAATTTGAAAGACTTAGAGCAATAGATCTGCAAAGGCACAGAGTCGGGTGTATTTAAACCAGTAGCTTATCACAACAAGCATCTAGTCAAACAATGAAAGAACTTTTCGTCTGTTTTCCGCACGTCTTCGCCTATCAGATCAAAAGTTTGGTAGGACCAACTTAACATATTGTAATGTTCGTGGGTTTAACAAATTAACTTTTAAGACTCACAACGGCAAAAACTGTTTATTTACACTAATTATTACTAAAGGACTTAAAAACACTATTAAATGATTACTAATTTAGGTAATTATTCTATTTATTTACACTACTTTAGGTAATTATTCTATTTATTTACACTACTGTTACTATTCAGTGTTCTATTTATTTCTTGATTCACTTCTGCAACGGTCAATTTATTTCTACTCATCACTTCTGGAACGGTCAATTTATTTCTACTCCATTTCGGCGATCGTCTCTTCCTTTTTATACTCCCTTACCTCCTTTCGGGAACATTCTCTAGCCGTCCAGAGAAGTCTCGTTTTCTTTGAATGGTTTAATTGCTTTCCCAGAACGCAGGTACGACACACACGTTTACAGATACGACGCACATGAAGAAAAGCGCCCGCGGCTAGTCGGCGAATCGATAAGCCGCTCATACACACGTATGCCCGGTCGCACACAATCACGCTCGTGGTCATCACATCAATACAGGAACAGCAAGGCACATGAAAACAGCCAGAAGAGTTCCTTAGGTGAAGCAAGATAAGGTGACCATATTTTTTTATTTCAAATCCGGGACGGGGGACGGGGGGGTATTCAAATTAAATAACTTAAGTATGATTTTTTTAATCATTTTTTAATAAAAATTATACATAACAAATACTATTTAAGGATATAATAAAAATCAGTATTTTTTTTAAATGAATCACATTTTTTTAATCAGAATTACTAAGTACAGAACTTTTTATATTTTTCTGAACTATGGATCTTTTTCAGTACTTAGTTCTTTTTTACTTTGAAGCATTGTATAAAATTCTGTACAATTTTCTTCATAATTAACTTTAGTAAGTAATATCGCTTTTAGTGTGTCTATTTCAAGTCGAGTCTTG